TGAACGAATTCGACACAGGAAATGAATCAATAGTCAGGCGAAAATGGGAATCAATGGCTATGTCACTTGGCGCTTTTGTTATATCATAACTGCTTCAATGCGCTAGCGAAGTCGGCGATGGCATAGTTCGGGAGGGCCACGTGGCAGTTAACGATTGGTTTTAGCAACGACGCAGAAGGTCGAGTCCGCACTGATCAGCTCCGTAGGGCGGACATAGTCACATCGCCGCGTGGGCCCCCACGAACTATGTTTGCACCAAAATATGGACGCATCCGATCGAAGATCGAATGGTAGCAGTGTCGCGATAGCAAAAGGGAAGCCTGAAAACTCTGGGGCCCTATATTCGGGCTAAAAAAATGGTAGTCCCATTCGCAGGGGTGCTTCAAATGACGCTATGGGAACACCACGTGCAGGCCATGAGGGGCTGCTCATTTGTGAGTCTCGTGAGTGCATTGCGCCCACGATAGACGGGACTGATGACAAGCACGTTATACTATGAAAGTATCAATGGCGCGGTGAAAAGCACACCGCGCAGGCAACTTCCCCAAAAGTGGGCGGGAACCACTGACCACCCCGCATAGATCGACGTGCACTGCAGCGCTATCGCTTCACATTATTCAAAATTAATGTCGCAAAGTGACACATACGATGAACCCGAATAACATAAATAGCACAATAAATAAGGGAAACGCTATAATCCTCCCGAAATGATACGCTGTAGTACATGAAAAAAAAACAAAATGGTTTTTAAAAGAAAAAAAGGCAATAGTTGGATAGAACATCACAATCTGGTAATATGTTATGATCGACCACAGAATTCTCATGTTTACAAACCCGAACACACACTTGGTGGTGAATGTGAACGAGAGAGTATACGACACGCTGCGATTGGGGATTGGATTAAGGGGAGGGGGGGGGTGGAGAGAAAAGATGACAATAACATCAGAAACAGAGCCTGATGACAAGTGGGGGGGGGGGTGGTGTTGTGATGGAGCAACAATGAGACGCGAAACAATGCTATTGACATGAATAAGGAAGGAATGAAGAACGAATACGATTAGTGACAGTAGAAGTCGTATATGTATAACTGTAGTAGTACATCATAATAGTAATACAGAAAAAATCACTCGGTAGGAGGGAAAGGCGCGAGGAAACACTCGAGGCGATAGGCTCTACATGTGAATTACAATTTGAAACGCATATGTACACACAGATGATGAAATAGTAGTGGAGGATGTGTATTTTTCAGAAAAAAAATATTTTTCACCACGGAATAAAGGACGACGACACGACAAGCGACAAACCATCACTAACACATTACGAACGCATATAGTATAGTAGCAGTATGTATAGGAGAAGTCAGTACTTGCTCATCAATCAGTCAATATGTATGAATTCGATAATTACTGTAGACAAAGAAAAACAAGTTATTCAGTCGACTTGAAGCCGTATGATCATCAATCGTACATTTCACATGAGCTCTTTGCAGAGTTCAGTAATACTTATCATGGACTTTTTTCTTTGTAGGTAATGTTTTTCTTCTGCGAGAAAATTTCAAAGTCATCAACGGAATTGGTCATGGATATCAAAATGATAATGGAACATAATACTAAAAATAATAAATACATTAGGGTTACTGGAACTAGTATGTGTGGTATGACGTGATGGGAAAGTGCCTCAGATCAGCTGATCAGGTGGCCCACGAACGAACCCACGTTTTACCTAGGTAGTACGAGGGGGCTCGAGTGAATCCGCGTTGTCTTCACGTACACCGTGAACAGCATTCGGTGGCACGTACAGATTGAACATCGAGTCGAAGAACAACGCCATCGTGAATGAGACGACAATGAAGAGCACCTATAAAAGTTACCAGTAGTGGGTAATGAACCCAACATCACAGTACCATGTATCGTACTTCTCCAGTAAGTTCAATTAATTGTCGTTTCAGGCGTTTGTGTATGGTTTCTTCAAACAATGTCACATGCAAAAGTTACGCGACCACGTGCTTTTCTTTTGCATCATCAAGCGCGCGCGTAAAATCGATGCCCATCTTAAAGCAGTGGACAAGATTGGTGGAGGGCGGTTGTTGTCAGCCTCACTGACGGACTCTCTTTCTTGCCCCCTTTTCCCTGTCCTGAACGCATAAGTCCCAGTGTTATTAGTTACTGGTCGACCTCGCTCTTCGGCAACAGAGGTTGGGGCTTCGAAGAAGGCGAAGAAGCGGAAACGACATCTTAACACGTTGACGACATTCTGAGCCACCGGTGGCTCATGACTTTCTCCATCACTTTTTGGGTTATTGCCGGCAGTCTCAATCGATCTTTTTCTTGCTTTCGAGTAACCTGTGGAAGGTGAGTTTCCAACAAGGATGAGCAAGAAAAATGTTGCTGCCCCCATGAGATATTTTGAATTAAAAATTGAAATTTTTCAACTAGCTACTGCTGCGGCAGAAACCTCCAAAATAGTTCTTTTTGGACGAAACCTTGGCTGCAGGGACTGCGCGGGTCTTTGATCATGAACGTGAGATCTCATTTGTCATTGGCGCCATATGGCGCCAGTAGGCGCCACTTTGGCGCTAGCAGTCTTTTTGACACCGAATTTGACACCTTGGCGCCAGCGATCGTCTTGGCACCGAATTGGGTACAAACTCGAACACCTGGGTTATTTGGCATCCTGGTCACGAATGTATCATTCCTTCTCAGTATTAACGCCGTTTGGTGATCTTGAGATGGTGAACAAGTGATAAAATATGGATAGTGGAAATAAAATATGGATAAATAGTGATAATAAAATATTGCTAGAAATCGCGAAAATCGATCTAAAGTGGGCGGAGCTAAGTGTGCGGAGCCTTATGCATCTTGTGCAATTGCTTGTCTGTGAGCAATATGTGAAGAGTGTGTTTGAAAGCGTCAACGTTGAGATAAGGTATGAAAATTAAATATAAAACAAACCTGTTAAAAAGTGGGCGTGGCCGGCTATGTGTCGGTGTGGCCATCTATGAATCATTGTAATGTGTGAAAAGCAGAAAATTCAAAAAATTCTTAGAAACGGAAGTTATGGTACACATTTTGGAAATCACGATCGCGCTAAAAAGTGGGCGTGATCGCAGAGGGCGGGGCATGAGATGGCATCCAATAGGGTCAAAGATGGTTGAAATAGCAGTCCCTACACGATTGACTTATCATTTTGCGAAATTTGACATAGCGGCAAAAAAGTGGGAGACAATAGTATGAGCCACCGGTGGCTCGGGGCGGACGCATGCGAAAGCACGCCATTGTCCCACTTGGCGCTTTCCCGCAAAACGCGATTGTCGTCAACGCGTTAATAACGAATCTAAAGGTAATGGGCACGGGCCGGGGTCTGCGGTACTGTCAAGGTCACTGGTAAAAGGGCTGGGTGGGGTGTGTCCAAGCGCCCTCTCGGCGGAGCCCTTCCACCAATGACCTTGGTTATAACAGCCCGCCCAACAATCGTGCCCACTGCCTTTGATCTACCTGCTTTACTGGGACACCATACCACTGGACCAGTCAGAGGAA